AGCCTCCATTTTTGGTTTTTGTGCCTGAGTGCTGGAATCCTTTGCTGGTTGGAACCCTGTTTTCGGCAACTACTTCCAGACAGCCAGACACCTTTCTGTTCACTGAGGCCTTTCTACCAAAAAAAAAAAAAAAAACACTTTTCAACCTGACTTTGTGTTCACATGGAAAGCACCAAGAGGTGGTAAGGGCTTAGATTCCTTTAGAAGCGCGTACAGTCCTTCTGCTCTTTGGTTGGAGGGGAGGGCACTAGTTGTAGGGAGAAATGCTGGATGTAAGTTCAGTTTGGGAGCCTGACTCTGCCATGTTGATGCTCTATCTGTTAAGTATGGGTGGGGTGGACACATGTGAGGACCTCACGTGTGGCCAGAGATCTTGAGTGGACTTGGTGTCCAGTGAAAGGGCTAAGTTTGGGGTGCTACTGTCCACTCTGTGAATTAGATCAGAAGGTGGGGTGTGTGTGTGTGTGTGTGTGTGTGTGTGTGTGTGTGTGTGTGTGTGTGTGTGTGTGTAGATGGGTCCTTTAACACTAGCCTCTGGTGGCTCTAACTTCCTAGTCTCTAGCTCTTTAACTTACACTTCCTTGGCCATCCTGGGCTACCTACACCTTACTCCAGGACTCTGGAGCAGGAGCTAGCAAACTTGTGAACTTCCTGCCAAGGACTTCCAGCTTTCATCCCTCCTGCTTTAAAGACAGACCCTTTAGGATCTCAGAAACCCAGGATCTTTCTCACATATTTGCTCCTAGCCCTAGCAACCTACACTGACGAATGAATGTGTTTCTGCAGCCAGGAGCTATGAACAGCAGCTATCTACTAAATGTTTGTTGTGTGCCAACATTTGTGTTGAGCCCAAGATATGGCTTTGTATGGTATCAGGCAGCCCACCAGGACTGGCCAAGTCATGCAGGCTCAGAGTGGCACTGAGAGCTTGGCTAATGTACTTTATGGACCTGTCCACGCACCCCACTCATGCATTCCAATATTAACTCCTGTGGTCCCACTGCTGGGCTCCCTTACTTTCCTGTATCCTAGGCTTCTCAACTCACAACCTCTTAGCTTCCTGCCAGATGGGAATAAATTGAATCCTCTGCTAAAGCCCCAGGAGCTCACTGACAACCCTCCTCAAGTTTGTGGTTCAATGCTGCCCTGTTTCCTGGAGAGATAAAGAGACACAGGGCTGTCCCTCACCCAGTCTGCTAGATTGATCAATAGAAACTGCCTCACTTAACACCCTTTCCAAACACAGCTTACAAGAACCCTCAAATACCCACAATGTCATGAACTCTGCTCTGATCACTGGTCGCTCAGAAGGTCATTTAAGTTTGATGTCATCAGAGGAGAGCTGCGTCAACTCCAATCAGATCCTAGTCCTGTTTTGAGACCACCACACCAGGTCACCCCTACCCATCTGTATCGTGTCAAGAAGGCTTAGCAGACAGCTGGTACTTGATCAAGTGATAATAAGCCCAATCCTCCAAGATGTCATAGCAAGCTACACGGGAGAGGGCAATAATGAGGCATCACTAACCTTCCCAGGCCAGAAGGCATCGATGAAGTCCTGCTCAGAACCCAAATTCCAATCTTGACCAGAAATCACATGAAGTTTCCCTAGAGATTCAGGGATTCGTGGAAATAGGATGGATGAAGTCGTAGCTCCAAAATTCACTCATGTAGTAATACCCTCCTCTTTCCTCTGATATGGTGGTGCCACAGGAGTCCAGCTACAACACAGTTTAAATAGACTGAGACAAACACTATGAACATGTGCAGATGTCAACAGAAAATCACATACCATCCAAAGAACAGCAGAATCTACACTGAAGATACATATTAGCATTATCTGTCAAATGAACTATCATCAAAATGCTTCACTAAGCAATAAAAAACTCACTTTTAGCCGGGCGGTGGTGGCGCACGCCTTTAATCCCAGCACTCGGGAGGCAGAGCCAGGTGGATCTCTGTGAGTTCAAGGCCAGCCTGGTCTACAGAAAGAGAACCACTACACAAAAAAAAAAAAAAAAAAAAAAAAAAAAAAAAAAAAAAACCTCACTTTTAAAGAAAGTAAAACTTGGGGCAGGAGAGATGGTGCAGTAGTTAACAGTACTCAGTGCTCTTCCACAGGACTTGGGTTTGATTACCAGCACCCACCTAGAGCTCAAAACAGTCTGTATCTCAGTTCCAAGAAATCTGACGCCCTCTTCTTGCCTCTGTGGGCACTGCATGCATGTGCTGAATATACATATATGCAGGCAAAACAGTCATACAGATAAAATAAAAATAAATCTTTTTGTAGAAAGAAAAACTAAAAGTACAAAGTCTCAGTAATTAATAGAATGTACAAAGAACCCAACTGAAAATTTAAACTTAAAATTCGCATAGATGAAGTGTAAGGACCTCATTAGCAAGGGTGTCAGTAGCAGAAATGGATGAGCAGAGTAAAGAACCAGAGAAAATATACTGTAAAGACCAGAAGCACTTTGAACAAACTTTGGCAGTATCTCAAAAATCAAATGTATACCGAATAACCCTAGAAATTCCACACTGAGGGATTCACCCTAAAAAACAGATTGTATGCTCACACACACCATAAAACATGGCAGAGGTTCAGAGACATATAAGACTATAGAGGGAAATCTAATGTCTCTCTCACAGGGTCTCCAGAAGCCAGGGGCGGCAGTACTGAACACACTACAAGGAGCAAGAACAGAGAAAAAAACACACTTTGTCAAATGACACATTTCAGAAGTTGTGCAAACCTGAAACAGATTATAGAACCTGAGCAAGCCTGAAACAGATTAAACCCAAATAAATCTACAGCAAAACTACACCAAAGCTCTGAGAAGAAAGGAAAACAATCTTTGAAGCTATAAAAGAGGAATGATCCTATATCTATATGCGTAAAACAATTAGAGGGGGGCTTCTCATCAGAAAACATGGAGGCCAGAAGGAAGGTGGGGGAGAGAAGAACCTGAGGGTAGTGAGAAGAAATGTCTCACAAGTTGTCCACTCAGAAGGCAAAGCACCCCCATCTCCTGCTCCCTAAGCATGACAGAACTTCTGCCATAGGTACTCACTTACCCTGCTCTGATAGCCGACCCCCATCTTTGATGCACAGTGAAGATGGAGGACTAGGCCAGCAGAGGGCACTATGGGGAAATGTCCCGCTCAAGACCATGGAAAAACACTAGCTAGTGGCAGTTCATCCAACAAGAGGGCCTTTCTCCTATAGCTTTCTGCAAACATCATTTGCACACATTCAAAGCCACCCTTCCTTATCATCTTGTATCCAGCACCACCGCTTCTCCTGTTTAGAAGCAGTGGGTGAGGGAACTATCTGATTAAATCCAGCCTTGCCCGGGACACAGTGGCAGCTCAGGCCACGCAGTAGATGCTTGGGCAAACCCGTACCATGCCTTCTGACTTTGCATCAGCAGCAGCAGCTATTCTGGCATGTTCTGGATGCAGCAGGAGGTGAATCCAGTAGAAGTATCTTGGCTATACACCCTCGTGGGGCTGTAGCTTATAGTCTCCGTGGCTCTCCTGTCATGCTCAGGGCGCATCAGAGCTACACAAAGTTCTGTCAGAGGCAAATAAGCTCAGCCTCAAAATCTCATCAGGAAAACAAGTGACTGTTCACCTGTACCCAATGATCACTGTGAAACCCAAGGAGGGACTTTAGTCTGGCCCACACTTCTGCAGGAATTGAAGCCCATCTGATTTTCTGGCCCCCTCTGCCACCACCTTGCTTCGCACATGCGTCTGTTCCATCCTTGGTCCTCTCTCAGTCTCTAGAAGCCATCTCAGGTTGGGCCTTGTGTTTGGGTGGGAGCTCCATCTCAACGTCTGGCACCCTGGCATCCCTATACCCAAAGAGTCTGGAATGTTCTGGTGGAAGATCCACCTCAACTCCGCCCCACCACCACCACCACCACCATCTCTTTCCCTAAACCTGCCCCTTCAAAGCCCGCCAAACATGGCTCCTCCCCCAGAGAGACTCAAGACCACTCCCACAGGGTATATAAGCTGCATCCCAGAAAACAGATATGTGGTTCTTCAGGTCTCTCATCCCAGTCTGCTCTCTGTGGGCCCAGGGAATCACCTGGGAATGCTTTACCCGTTAAACCAGGCCTTTTCCTAATTTCCTCTGGTTTGGATTACTCCATCTGTGGAGAGTCCTATCAGGGTGCAACAAAACATCACCTTGCTGAAGCCCCACCTAACAAAATCCTCTGGACCTCACAGGCCAGCTGGAATGACTTCACTTCTGTGAGGCCTTGGGAGCTCTCTGCCCATGGTTCAGGTTCTTCTTCACATTTCTAACTCCTGCTTCCTCTGCTCAAGTTTGCATTATTGAAAGGTCAGGAGGACAACACACCCAGCAGCTCTGTGAACAATGTAGGGGTGAGGTTGCACCTGCAGGCAGCGCCTAACAGGGCAGTGCCTACTGATCTCACTCTGTGGTGTGTCTTGATGCCTAAATACATGCTCTCTTCCAGCAGGCTGTGCATACCCCCATGCTAATGGATCTCCAGATGTCCTGTAAGTATTTGCCATGTAAGTAGTTACCATCCAGACAGTTGACTAAAGCACAATGGGAGGTGGAAGCATCTCCTTGGAAGTGACACCCATGGCATAAAAGGTGAATCTGCTATATGAAGACTGCTGCTGCATCCTTGTTCTTCTCAGCTGACACTCACTCTCCACTTTCCAAAGCACCTAATTCATTCATTAAGTCAGTCAGTCATTTAGTATGTCTGTCATTATGGCCCCTATGGGCTACTGTGTTTCAGGTGCTAAAAGGATGTGCATGACCATCCAGGCTCAACACTGTATGAGCACCTGCCTGATTGACTGTACAAGACTGTCGTGTTGGGCCCCACTCTTCAATTCTGCTCCTTTCTGTTATATCTGTGGGAGGTGGATCTATATAAAAAACATAGCTCTACTAACTCTCTTGTCCTGGGCTTCCTGGATGACCCAAGGTGACACACCTGCTTCCAGAGATCTCTAGGCAAGAAAGGGGCCAGTTAAGGAGTGATGCAGCATTACCATTGACTATGCAGGAAGCAATGAGGATTAAGTGTCATGCAGTCAGCCATAGACATAACATGGCTGCCTGGTTGCTACACCTCTCACATTAGAAATTTGCTAGAATGGCTGTCTTATGGAGAGGCAGAACATTTACAGTTGAGGACATCCAGATACCTGGGACATTTGGGAATGCCATCACCAATGACACTGGAGAAGGGTGCTAGTGTCCATGCTGCTATAGGGACCCACAACGGGTTGACTCAGAGACTCTGAGTGGAATCACCTGCATCTCATTGGGCCTACACCATGGTCCCCATCTCAGGGATGGGCAAGCAGCAGAAGCTGAAATAAACCAAGCTGCTACAAGGCAAATGAAGGACAAAAACATCTCAAGGAGCAAAATAGATCTCTAGTGTCAATTTTGAAACCCTATAAGGAGGCTTATGTCCTTGATGGAGACAGTCTGTGAGTATTACACTCCCTAGGTGCCTCTGAAACTTCTGAACCTGTGTAAGTGGTCTTCCTTTTACAGGAAGAGTCAATGCTACCCCATCCCTGATCCTAAAGGAGAAAAGCTTGCTTAAGTCATAATTATCCACACAGAGGCCTTCACTCCCAGGACTTGCCCTCTCTCCCGTTTCTGATATTGTAGTCAACACTGCACATTGGCCACAAAACTCACAATGCTAAAGCCAGGAGAGTGGCCAGAAAGGAGAGAAGAATTCATGAAGCTGCTGCCAAGCCATACCCAGAGTGAAGTCCCAGATCAGCAAAAGCCAAGCAGGCTCAGCTTGACCTGATAGACAGGAGAGGGAGCCAGCCAAGGAAGAAGCTGGCACAGCATGCTCCAACATCTGTAGAGAGGGAGCTGTTCCTGTGCCACAGGCTTGAAGAGGGCCTGTGGGGATTCAGATTGTACAGGGACTGCAAGAGCCTCCTGGGAAACAGGACTTCATGCTCTGGCAAGGCTTGTGGGGCATAATGCAAAATTGCTGATAGTTGGGGACTGGGATAATTGGTTCATCATTAGCATTCTTGAAAGCAGTCATGGCTTTGGCAGACAAGAATGGAGGGAGAGCATCAAGGCTATGGGTTATTGCTGTCGAGAAATGGTTACATTAGTTGAGGCCAGAAAAGTGCTAGTGGGTAAGTAAGTTTCTCTGACAATGAAATCAGAGCATCAGGATTAAACAGGAGAAATGTCACTATCATCACTTAGAAGTTTGCCGTCACCACTCTGTAGGCCTCAGTAATAACAGGATAAACTGGTCTCACTGTGCACAAGAAGAGTTTGTGATGTTTTCTTTTCCTCTTCTTCTACTTTTTCCTATTCCTTTTACCCACCTCCTACTTCTTTTTCATCTTCCTCTGCCTCCTTCTTCTCTTCTTCCTCCTGCTTTTCCTCTGACTTCTACTCTTCATCCTTCTGCATATCCTCATCTTCATCTGCAGTACCCACAATAACTGAGCTGCTAATAGCTGCTGGTTAAGACTAATCATAGTTGAGAAAAGAAACTATACCACAATCTTCCTTAGGTATATAAGTGACATATGTTCAACATATGTTAAGCTGAGAGAGGGCACTCAGAGGAGTAAGTATTCAGGCAAAGGGGACTGAGTGTGTCACCCACATCAAACCAGTGAGTATTCCTGCTCAGATTGTGCTCTGTGACCAAGATTTATGAAGCCTTTGACTAAAAGGGTAGTATTGAAGTTCCCAGGGAGTAGGAAGCTACAGCACCAAAGCAATGAGACTTGCAAATGGCCCCACTGCATATTCCTAAGGGACGTGCAGTTGTATACTGGGTCACTGAAGATCAAGGAAACCATAATAACTAGCAAGGCTGTTGTAAAGAGTGTCCTATGGGAGGTTTATACTTTGTGAATTAATGAACTGTCTGTAAGTCATTCTCAGGAAGAATTTCCTGTAGTTAACATTTCTGAAAAAAGGGAATGTTATCAAATTCAAAGACATGTACTATTCTCAGGAAATTGGTGTGTAGCTCTTGAATGAGGAAACTGTGAACCAATTACTCCATATTAGGCTTAGGCTGCAGATCTAGTGAGAAGTCAAGTTACTTTTGAAAAAAAAACTTTTCAGAATACAAACTAATGCTCATTGTAATGGAAAATACAAATCAAAATATGAGATAGCATAAACTCAGTGGAATAAAAATGCACAAAAAATGAAAGTGGCAGGTGATACCCAAAGTATAAAAATCTTTACATCCATGAAATGGCTACTTCTACAAGTTTCCAGGGCAAACCTGCAGGTTTACAATAGGCTGGATGAGCCTTCTGCAGCAAGCTCAATGGACTGCTTCATCAGAAATCATGATGATGAGCTGACAACTTGTCCTCTATATCCTGCCAACCCCAACCAACCCTGAGTCATGGAAACAAAAAGCAGGAGCACATGGTCACTAGACCATGTCATGTTATTTTAAGGCCTAGCTCTGGCAGTATACAGAGATTGTGGCTTCTTTAAATAATGATAGATGTATCAGAAGAATAAAGATGGAAATGTAGGCTGAGCAAAGAGCCTTGAAACTGCAATCAACAGTTTTGCCCACTAAAATCAACAGATTTAGTTGGCAAAAACTGTGAGGCAGGTCACAGATATTTGAAAAGTCCAAATTATGCTTCCTCAATTTGTATCCTGGGCACCACAAACTACCAAATGGAGTGCAAGTAACATACCATGTCTGCAAGAATACTGGAATGCCACTTCCTCCCATTCACAAGTAATGTGTCATGAAGACAAAAGCAGCCATAAGGCTACTACTTGGAATAGTAGCACTTGATCTGAGCAACCTAGGAAAAAAATCTTATAAACAAGATTGGAAGGAAGGGTGAAGGAAAAAAATGCAAGATTGCAGGACCAGAAAGATGATGCAATGGATAAAGGCCCTTGCTGCCAAGCCTGATGACTTGAGTTCAATCCCTAGAGCCTGCATGATAGAAGAAAACAGACTCTTCTAAGATGTCTTCTGACATGGGTTCTGTGGCCCACATTTGCACCTGTATATGCACAATAAATAAATTAATGTAAAAATGCAAAGGAAAGGGAGTCTATGGAATTACTGAGTTAATTCTCTGGCATGAACAAAGAACTGAACAACAGGGAAAGACTGTAGGTATAGTCACAGAGAAAGGGAAAGGAACAGGCTTATTTCTTTAGGATGGGTGAAACCTAATGATGGAAGTCTGTTAAACAGATGCTGGCTTGGGTATTTATTGACTCCCTGGATTCTCCCCTTCCTCCACACTGGCCCTGCCTAGATATATGCCCCTGTGCATTCCAGCTGTATGTCAGAATCTTCTGGGAACAAGAATCCATCATCTCAGGGAGCTGACCTTCACTTCCCCTGCCTGCTTACACTCCTCTAAGCTCCCTTCAACACAGACCATTACAGAAATTCTCAACTGGTCAAAATTCAGAGATCAACTTACTGTGGAGTGGCCAACCCTAACAAACACATCTAAAACACTATCCTACAACTGAGGCTCAGTTACCATCATGGAAGGGCATAAAAAAATTGTAAGAGCCAGAGGAGTAGGATATCTACTACAAGACAGTGTTTTCTGTATGTGATGTGGAATCTACACCTCTGAAATATTACTAACACAGTCACCTAAATAAGATCAGCACAATGATAACACGGGGACATCTCATACGGCCCCATACTTAGATGAAGAACTACAGACAATCAATGGCTGCTGAAAAATACAGATTCAGTCTTCTCCATGGACAAGCCCCGATAGGTTCTCCAGTCTCAAGTGGTCAGCCCTAAACCCAAATATATATGAGAAACATTAAATGGACTCAGAAGGTTGTATTTAAATATATATA